CATATATATTTATCGTGTGCGTTTGTACATAATATACTCTCCGCGTGCCGTTGACAATGCTAATTGTTTTAAACTCCGTTTCATTACGTGTAATTACATGCGCCTTTTTCTGTGCGCTTGTTTGTCACGTCAACGGGTTCATACAATACACATGCACGCACGCGATTTATTTTTCAACCCTTGCAACACATGCACATTTGTGGGATGGGAGAAATTGAATTACCATTTGGGATTTTATCGGTGTTTCACACAACGGGTCGATTGCGTTTTGGCGTCTCTTGTTTTCCTCTGTGAATTACTAGTCGAAATAACTAGGTTTAAACAGTTTTTTTTTATTGTTTTTAATAGCACGCAAGTTAACTCTTTTTTATAAACTCAACTCGCAGGCAATTCAGTCCAGTCGAGAATTTTTTTTTTTCCCCTCTCGTGACAATGCTTTATTTTTTATACGTTTATATACAAGCGTACAAGAAAATACATTTTTAAAACATATAGTTTGTTTATTGTTTACTCGGAACGATGATATGCATCAAAGTGTGTATAGATTGATGTAAAAAAAAAATTAAAATAAAATAACAATAAGCCAATGTAGTTGTTGTTACGTAATATGGAGAGTGTTCGTAACACATACACACGAATCGATTCAGAATCTTATCAGAAAAAAAAAAAAGTTAAATTTTGCGGCCATTAGGTAGACGGAAGTAAATTCACTTGTTGAGCAATTTAGTGTTAATTCTGTATCGAGATAATCATCAGTTTATATTTATACACACACGAGTTGTTGTTCTTCTTACGTTGTGTTTCAATGCTCAATTTTCATTATGTACCTATAAATATATTCATTTAATACACCGCTCGTTATTTGTAAAAATAAATCAACGCTGTAAGCCCACCATCACATTATGTTGTACAATTACGCAAGTCACCGGTACGGTTTTGCAAGAATTAGAAAAAAAAAAAAAAAAAAAAAAACAACAACAACATCGACGTCAAAATCAATTAACATCTGGTAAAAACCACGCGATAAATCAACGGGCCAGAGATAAGATCACCATATATATTATATTATTGCACAGGTGGAAAATATAAATAAGTATGTCCCTTGATTTTACCATCGATTTTATCGCACCCAATGTTTTATTTTTACATCCTCTCTGCATGCATGTATTATTATCAACTGGTTTTTTAATCTTCAAGGCCCTGTCTCCATAAGATGCACCCCGACTCTGATAACCTTTTTTTCTCCTCCACGTAAAAAAAAAAAAAAAAAAACCCAAGATGTAAAAAGACCCTGGGAACAAAAAGCTCTCATCACCCCACCACTGCATAAGTACGTGTATGTGCTCAAAAGAGAGAGAGACAGTCACCGCGCGCGTAAGCACGCACATTTAGAAAAGCACAAAGTAGCGACCGCGCGCGTACACGCAAAACAACGGTGCTCACGTCGGTCCATCGTTTTACCCAAAAAAAAAAAGGGGCCTCTCGCTTAATCGAGGGGCCACGCACACAAGGGAGCCGACGCCGCCACGCGCTCGCAGGGAAGCCAAGAGGAAAAAAAAAAATCTGCATCTGCCCGCAAAACGACACGTGAGTTTGATGAGACAATCGGGTGGGATCAAGATTTCGCGTCATACGGGCCGAGGTACATACCACTGGGAAACGACCGAGCAGGACTCTCTCGTTACCCTGCACCGTAATATACGCGTTCCTCCTGCGTGCATACCTACACAATAATATGGTACGTACGCGCACAAGTACAAATGGACGCTGATAAGGTCGTTTTGCTGTCGTTTACCTCGACTGTACAAGTACCAACGTATAGGGCACTAAACTTGCGGATCCTAGCTGTGGCATACAAGCCAAGTCGAGACATTGTACATCCTCCCCTCGAAGTACTTGTATTAGACTTTTTTTTCCATCCCAAAGTCTTGATTGGATTTAACGCCCCGTTTCTGCGACGCATCTCGTCCCGCTGCGGAAAGTCGAGTCGCAGGGATTTTTACGAAACACGCGTTTATAAGGAACGGCGGTAATCGTAGTGATTAAACAAACAAGCGTACGATATGCTAAACACCTATATCTCTTAAAGCTGAAGTGGGGAGAAAAAGAAAAAAAAAGAGTCGCGACGAACGCGTGGGCGTCTAAAGAAAAGTTCATTAAGAAAATCACGTGGCGAGTACAAGAGGTTGACCGTTTTTTTTCCCCCTCCTGAAGATATGACGGATGAGAGAGAGAGAGAGGAGGTGCGCGGGTCGATAAATCATTGCGGTGCTTTTCGCCCTACGGCTTTTTTTTTTCTCTCTCTCTCCTCTTTTTCAGCGGCTAATTAGCCATGGCCGAGCGAGGGAGACGCTCTTCTTTGTGAATCGTGACAAAACGTGTGTGTGAAGCTTACAACTTTTTTCTCCCACGCGCTTGTTTGGAAGAAAAAAAAAAAAGAGAGATATGATGAAGAGTGTCCAGTGGTCATCAAAAACTAGAGGAGGAGCGAGCTGTCACCATTATGCCCAACAGTGGATATAGGTACGTGTCATTCGACACATACCGAGTGGGCCTCTCTCTTGTATCGCTCATTTTCCTTTTTCGTATGACGAGAGAGAGAGAGAGATGAGGTACACGCACTTCCATAAAAAAGCGAGTTCTCGCCGATTACTTCTAATTGCCGCGAGCTTTAATTGGTATACACAGCGGCAGGTGGCTTTTTTCTTCCATTGTCCTCGATTTGTCAATGGGTCGTGGACTTTTGAACAAGATCATGGCCATGAACTTATTGTTCGAGCGTCACACAATTTTCACGATAAGCGTGTAGACGACACACGTTTTTACGCGATACGTTTGGATGGCAACAAAAATGGAAGACAATACCGCACGGAGAAAGCAGTAACCTTTTACATTTGGTTCGACATTTTGGGTAGCTTGTGGCTGTACTCTTTGTAATACTTCATGCCGCGAACGTTACACCCTAGAGACTCGTGATGCGTGAATTTGTCACGAGACCAACGTTACTGCACTGTCGGAGGAATCCACATGGAAAAGTTATATATCGATTCTTCGGTAAAATAAGGACCCCCGGCACGATTTTGCAAAAATAAAACGAGCGGGATAAACAAAATTATACATGGACACATATAATAGATTTGAGGCGTTGAATAACAGGAATAAGAGAGGGAGAGAGCGGCAAAATAATCATGATAATGATAACAATTCAGTCGTTGGTGACACACGTCTGTCAAGGAATTAGACCCTGATGGGACGGCGCCGGCGACGATGATTTGTTACCGATTGCGGTCGGCAGCAGCGAAGCGTTAAGGGAACGATGAGAGCTGCTCCTGTTATATTATACATATACAATATAGTCACTGATAGTATATATACATATATCTACAGAGTACACAAACAAAGTAATAACATCGAGCTGCTGTACGCGAGATGTTTTTTTTTTTTCCTCGTTGATGTCGCGTCGCGAGTCGTCCGTAGGTAGTTATTGATTGCAAATTACGTTGTTGGATGAGCTTTCCAAGTCTTGGAAAAATTGATACGTACTAAATTTTTTTTTTTTTTCCAGTGGTCCACCGAGAGACAACCGCGTCCCGGTCCATGCGAGCTCGGAGCGAAACTCCATAAGCCAAAAACATGAAAAAAAGAGAGAGAGAGAGGAGATTGCAGCCAATTAATATTCACAAAGTGAGCTCTCGCTAAGCCGCGACTTGCCGAGTAGCTGGTTCGGGGAACGGAAGGAGATCGCCTTGCAGATTTCGGACGCGGCGAGACGACGGGAGAGGAGGAACGAAAGAAAGAAAGAAAGAAAGATGACACAAAAGGACGAGCTCTTGCTTACTTTTTTCCCTACTTTCCTTCCCTCTTTGTCTTTCGGCAAAACCTGTCGGCAACTTGTGAGGTTGCTCGGGCTATAGAGAGTTTTTTTTTATTTTTGGGACGAGCATTAGGTCAACAATGTTTTGTTTTTGTTTTTTTTCTTCCAAGATGTATTTTTTCTCGCAATCAAACCGATCACTCCCGGTTTATCATCCCCGTCGGACAGGCAAATCCGCCGGGATGATAAAACTCGAGAGCACCGGGCAACTGCGCTCCGACGCCCCCCCTCCCTTTTGCCAACTAACGCACGTATAGCTCGCGAGATTTATGCCCCTTACTCCCTGCGTGTATATAAACGATGCTACGCTCGGCTTTTTTTTTGGAGGGGATTTCCTTTTCGGGATCTCGAAATTTTCGGGGGGAGAAACCCCTGTCCGGTTCGCGAAACGGAAAATTGACGCGTCCCAAAGTGCTCGCAGTGGCAGGTTGCAAATTATATAACACGGACGTGCGAGCAAGAGAGAGAGAGAGAGAGAAAAAAGCCAACGTTTATCATTCCGTTCGGTGTGTATGTATATACTCACAGTGGGTGGAGAAGGAAAAAAAAGAAAAGAACGAACGTGTCGCTGACATTACACGTTTAACCCTTTGCATGTGTAGAGCTGCTGCGCAAATCGATCGCCCGGTTCAACGACTCGCGCTACGAACGCGCGTGTATATTGTACATATGTGCATGTGTTTTTGCGAGCAGCCGACGCTGCATTTTGGAAAACGCGTTGGTGGAAAAAAAGAAATACGCGTGTCATTGTTTCATATGAAATCTGATTGATGATATTATTTGCTGATACGCGTGTAATTAAACACAAAGCATCGGTATACGACAAATGTCGACAAAAGGTCACTGCTACGTCTACATGGATTCCAAACTCGGGGAGCACGCGATCGATCATGGACTTACGATTGATTATTGATTTATCGTCCCTCTAGGAGGTGCAGGGATATACATTGTGCTGATAATGATATACCGCTGTTTTGGCAACTTGAGCCTATATATACGTCTCTGCACAACGGACGCGCTAATCAATTGCGGAGAGCCGGTGACCTGCGCTTGCGCCCGTCCCTCCCAAACCCCCCCTTAAAATTAACGCCTCGAAAATACACCAGGTATATTTATATGTACTCACTCTTCGAAAGCCAATGCTCGTTGCTGTACGTCAGGCACTACCTACAACACACACGCGGCAGGTTCTTCCGGCTCCTCTGATTCGGCCCGACGCAGTCGTCGACGTTGTTATTGACGGCTCGGTCGTTGGCACCACCATCATCGAACGCTGCACCAGCTGATGGCGTTACGTCGCGCGCTCTTATACACGCGACATCGTCACACCTTTTTTTTTTTTTTTTTTTCTCTTCTTCTCACGTCATTCGCACCCCACTTTTATACACATACATACATATGTATTTTTGTCGCACCACTGACTATTATTTTTTTCCTCCTCCTCCTATCGTTATTCACAACAAAGCTCACTCACGCACCAGCACACTGTTTCTTCGCGCGTCTTCCTCCCTTGACAAATCCCTCGAGAAGAAGCGCCCGCGGTTTCAAAAACTCCACGCGCTCTCCCGTGAGCAGCGACACGGCGCCGATGATCAGCTGATCGCCATGCGCCTCCACGAGTGTGTGCGGCGGCGCGCCCGAGCTTCCCTATTTTTTTTTTTTTTTTTTTTTTTTTTTTACCACAAGGTTTCTTGCTACTCTCCCCGGAGTCGGACCGGCGAAATCGCCACACACGCCAAACCAATCGCGCGGTAGTAGTAACGGCCGATCACTCGGACCGCGCTAGTAGTACAGGGCTGCGTGTACAGCAGACACACCACCGCTTGGTTGTTGTTTGCACGCGTCTCTTTATAGATTTTGTAAAGGGGTTACCACCTGCACTTGGAGGGTCGGGCGTGAAAAGCAGCCAGCGTCGTCCGTTGTTTATCCGTGTTGTATAACATTCCTCGGATGTTGGCACGATGGAGCAAAACAAAAATAAAAGAAAATAATCGCACTGCCTTTGTATTGGCTGAGGTAAAGAAGAAGAAGAAGAAGAAGAAAGGGTCGATTGTCAAAGTGTGGGCGAGAAGTGTGTGTATACTTGGGAGCAACAAAGTCTGTGTGAAGAGGGGCAACGTCAACGAAGAGAACGATTATTGTACGAGGAAGCGCGAGAGCCGCTAAAAGCCACCCGCTCGTGTCGGCAGCCGGGCGTGCACTGGACGCGCCGTAATACTCGCGGCTGGTGCCCTCTCTCTCTCTGTCCGCGCTGTGTATATGTATATACCCACCAGCAGCCAGCCACCACCGCCACCGCAGACAGACATCAGACACTTACACACACGGCACTGCCTCCTCTCTTTTTTTTTTTCTACTACCGCGTGTGCGCGCACCGCGTGTATATAGAAGAGCACATATGTATATATACTTTTTTTTTTTTTTTTTTTTTCATTATAGTGCTATACACGTCCGGCTCCTTTTAATAAGGACACCAATATGGGCACTTAGCACTTGGGAGAAGGAAGGGAAGAGGGATGGGAGGCCTTCCATTACAGGAGGAGGGTAGGGGGGAAATTAGGCAATTTTGCTGCGAGAAGGTCGCCTAAACCCTCCTCGAGGAGCATTGCGTGGTGAAAAAGCACATGTGAAAAATCACAGAGGTACTTGCCCGAAAAAGTCGGGTCTCCCCGCGTGCCAATCCACGACCTAGCCGACCGAGCCACCGCGCGCTCATATGTATATACTTATGCTTTTACGAGAGGAGAACGGCTGTTGTGCAGCGACTGCCTCTCTGCGCAATGAGTGTGTAATGTAATCGGCCCATTCATAGGTATATCTATGCCTTGCGGGGGAGGTTTCTTATATATGCACCTACAAGTAGATATAACAAGGGGGTGAGTTTACCATGACAAATAATAATATTCGTCATTGGGGGGATGGTGCGGGTTCATCATTCCTCTTGTGGCTGATAAGCAAATGAGGGTGCACGCGTTATGTTACGTCATGTCCTGTAACATATCGTGCGTTTGGCACTTTACAGTCTCGTAGCGTTTGAAAAAAAAAAAAAAAAAAAAAAAAAGTGGTAATTCGTTATAAATTTATTTTTATACCTTTGGTTGTTGTATTCAAACGCTCATTGGTAAACAATAACACGCTTCGTTGCACTAAAATGCCGCGGATCAGCACGTAGCGCGAAAAATTGAGAGACTCGCTGTGTGTGCGCGCGTGTTTTTCTTTTCTTCTTTGTCGTGTATAATATTATAATACTCTAAAGCGAAAATTTTCGATCCGCCACACACGTGTATACAACACCCGCACATCAACGAGCGAGTATATTTCGCGATGAAATTTATCTTACGCCGCGTACATGTAATATAGTTGTTGGAAATTTTTTTCTTCTTCTTCCGCGCAGTACGATTTTGTTTTGAAAATAATATATATATATATACCCATGGGCGCTCGGTGCTTGTTGATAAGACGCGATTTCGTGATGTAGATACATACTTACCGCGCTACGCGTCACGTTGGACGTATACCGGAAAATTTTATTCAAGCGTTACATATATACACATTTATTCCGAGTATACTTACCTGCCTCTTGTTTTTTTTTTTTTTTTTTTTTTTATCGCTATACTCGCACAGAATCCGGTTATCAGAAAGAGAGAGAGAGAGCTTTGATGATCAAGGCGGTTGTAGCGTGACTCTCCAAAGTTACTTGATACTACATCAATATCTGATGATTTTTAACGCGCAGTGCCGTGTAATAGATAAGGGGGTCGGTTCTACACGCAATGGATCTCTTTTGTGTATCCATACACACGTACTTGTAGAGTCATACGAATGTTGGAATTGGTCGATTGACAATCGATGGAGAAGAGTACCACGTTGATCTGGTTATTTGCTCGGTCTGGTAATATTTCAATGCGGCGAAGTAGCATATAATATATGCATTTAGTATAATTTATTTACAAAAAATTTATTTGCAGTGGTGAAACGCATAAGCGCCAAAAATTTCGGGCAAAGTGTTGATTTTTGCCATTTGGCAGGGGTTGTTACATTTACATCGAGGCGGAAACTAGGTAAACCAGGAGGAGGAGGTCTGCTTGATATTTCATTTCAAAGGCATCGACGAATCACGATAACCCAAAAAACAAATTGCACCAGTTGATGAGCGTGGATAAAAAGAAGGAAAAAGAAAATGGTCCCTACCGTGTGCGCTGCGCCATTATTATACGCCAAAAAAAGGGCTCTCTGCACATGTATGTGTACCCTCCCGTGAATAAGCAGCCAAAGTAGGCCTCGTTTCCTCCGAACCACCGGGCGTGTATGTCAATATCGTTTAGCGCGCAAAAACGGTAATCCAAAAACGCTCGAAACAACCGTTTCCCCCCTCAACGGCAATCAAGTCCCTCCGAGCAACCCTACGACTCCGTTTGCGACTCCCTTTCCCCCCTCCTTGCCCAAACCTCGATCGCGAGGAGTCAGCGAAAGGATCAATTTTTACGGCGTCCGGTAAAATCATATATAAGAATCGACGTGCGCGCGTGTACGCGAAGAACCGAGACAAATTGCAGGGGAGCGCGTCTCGAAGGGAGAGGAATTGCTTTTCGCGCGCACCGCGAGCGACCTAACGGAGCCCCCCCCCCTTGCCTCAGAGTGAAAAAAGGAAAAAGAGGAGGTGGATGATGTGTCCTTACACGTTGCGCTCCAGTTTCTCTCCTTTTTTTTCCAAAGGGGGGAAAAGCAGCACGTGTGACTTGATTAATTTTCGATCGGATTTTGATGAATGGTGATCGTCGGGAATTTAGAGGTGCCGAGAGATATTATTCGGGGAATCGAACGGTGCTCTCTTCCTCTCCTCATTCGCACGCGCGCGTGTCCGATATCGCGAGCGAGTGTGTCAATATAATTGAATACGCATACATACAACACGCGCATAAGTGACATTTTCTCTCGCGCCTTCGTCCGGCCCAATTATAACGTTCGCGTGTACGCAATTATGAAGCGCGGCTAAGTTGTATAATTCAAGAGTTATTGGGATCGAGTCGACCGGGAAATTTCGTTCTACGAATTTATGTTGTACGCGAGCCACGTGTAATGAGCATCTAAGAGAAGTAAAGAGTATTAAAAAAAAAAAAAAAAAAAAAAAAAAAAAAAAAAAAAAAAAAAAAAAAAAAAAAAAAAAAAAAAAAAAAAAAAANAAAATGTTAGATAATACTATAACAAAATTCCGTTCTTTTTTAAAAAAATTTTATGGGTCAGTACATTTTTTCAATTTTTTTTTTTTTTTTGCAATGTACTTAATTTTTTTTTTTCTGAAAGTATTTTGGGAAAGAATAAAGTTTTTTGCTAAATACTACATAGTGCTTAAAAATTTTTTCCTGCAAACGTTGAAAAAAAAAAAGAAACTATTGAAAAAATATGTATTTATACAATATATGTAATGTATTTGAAAAAGTGTTTAAATTACACGTAGAATTTATTATAGATGGGTATGATTTAAAAATGAAAGGGGCGAAAAATTCCAAGCCATTTTACGTATGCCATTGAGGAAATAACATGGATTTTTTGGTGATACCTGTAAGTTTGAACTATAGGGTGCACTAGGAGAAATTTGTCAAAAATAAAAAATTAAAATTAAACGAGTAATAAAAAAAAAAAAAAAAAAAAACAATATTTCATCATTGTTTTATCGGAATGATGAAAACGTTTGCCTCAAATGTATAACCCACACAATCAGCTTCCTCCCACCACATTCACAAAGTACCAATCATTTCTGAATGAAAAAAAAAAAAAAAAAAAAACTACTCGCACGCAATAATGTGTGATTGACCGCAACGTCCCGTCCGTTATCTGTCGCTGCAGGGGCAACCTTTTGTACACTATCACATCTATCCGCACGAAAGTTGTTCGGGCCCTCCCGAGGAAAACCGCCCAAAAGATCCCCGGGGCTCGCTCGCGTGGGCGTCTTTGTGCGACTCTCTCTCTCTCTCTCTCTCTCTCTCTCGCCTAATATTGTTACCAGAGGCGTGCCAGATGGGGGCCCCGATGATGTCGATCGCGAGACGCGCTTTTGTTTGTTGCCCGGCGGGGCGAGGGTAGGGCAGGGGGGAGTTACAAATTTTTTTTTTTCGAGGGATGGCAACTCAATTGCATAGCGCACGGTATTTTCTCCGGCGCGTTTTTCATTGGGAGCCCGGCAGAGGTGGAGCTCGCCCTGATAAATCAAATGCGTATACACGCGCACTCGGTGTATACTTGTAGGCAACGAAGAGCTGGCCTTTTGTGCCTTTTTTTTTTTTTAGGTGAACGAAGCAGAAGGAATGATGTTGAGATGCGCGTCACTCCGTGCATTCACTCTGTACTGATATCACACAACGTTGTTTTCCAAACGCTGTATCATTTTCAAAACGTCAATAACTGCCACCTGATTTTTAATGTGAGAAAAAATTGTTTCTGGATTACTTACGCCATTAAATTTTATACATCATCTGCTCTCTCTATTGGAAATAGTGATGAGTATACAACTTTTTCAAAACATGGTGCATCTACACTGTAAAATAGTGAATATTCACTATTTCTACCAATTCAATGTTTCACTATTTCAATCAGTCGGTAAACTTACTGTTGGAATCACTCAAAATAAAGAGTAGGGGTTGTACAATTATTATCTTCATTTGGATCAAGATCTCTCGTTGGGTTACTTACTGATAAATATTTAGAATTAATATTTATACATTGACTGGGCGCGAATAAACGCTCCTGTTTTTTCACAAAATCTTGCTCACTTGCGCAAATAGTAGTCACCATTTCAAATTTAGAGAGTATACTGTCGTATTATCAACAGCCAATAGCTTAGCTAACGCTTAAAGAGTCTGGAAGAAACTTTCAAGTCCCAAAAAATTGATAAACGTTTTTCTCAAAGCGTTAAAGTATTGCAAAGTAATAATAATAACGTTTTTAAAAACACGTTGTCCAAGTGCTAAGGGGGCAGTATTCGTATAGTCGTTAAAAACACCCGTCGATGCAACGAGTGTCGATTAAATACAGCATTACAGTTGCACTGGCCAAAGTTCAATATTTCTCGTAAAAGTACCAACGAGCGCTCAAACTAACACCTGTTACGCGTATCCAACGGTGATATGGTGTACATGTACACGTACGCCGGGCAGGTCTCTCAATTAGAGCCCAAGAAATTACGACATGTGCAGCTTTCTCTCTCTCCCTTCGCAGTGACACTCGCGTAATTAATTGATTAATTAAAATTTTTACCTGCCGCGACTTCATTACGGAAACAAATTACAAGTACACGTCCCCGAAGCCCGTCCGTGCGTTGATATACCTACCCGCGTCAAATTATCGTCACTGTGTGCATCGCTCTCTCGCCGCAATTTACCGCCAAATGCATTTTTTTCTCCTTCTTTTGTCCCCCCCCCCCCTCCAACGCCTCACGTGCGTGCGTACATCCACCTGCCGGTGTAAATTAACTTTCGTCGCAACGTCTCGATTTCTCGAGCTACCACCTCTCGGCTCCGATGAAAAAAAAAAACCCGCTTCAATCTCGACGATACTCGCGAAATCGGCAAACATTCGATCGGTTTCACACCGCCGATCTTCCAGCGATGAAAATAAAAAGAATAAAAAAAAAAAAAAAAAAAAAAAAAAAAAAAAAGAGTCTCAAAGTATTCCCGGTGCAACCCCTGCACTATGCATGTACATACAAATCGAGCCACCCGCTGGGGGAGTAATTGCGAAATTAAAGATCGGCTCGACAGTTCCCTATCAATTAGACCTTGGCTCGCCCGTTTATACTGCGTTCGCGCCGGAGAGCATCGTTATGGGCTCCTGCAGGGGTTCGGACGAATGTCGCGCGATAAATCTCCCTCGAGTACCTATATATACGCGGAGGTCAGGAGGGGGGGGGGGTACACGATTCCGTACGTGTACACAATACACGCGACGCGACTGCGGGTGATGTGCAGCGGATCCATCAATCCAAGCCTTGATTTATCGCCCGCGATCGCTTAATTAATAAATTATTGATGGGGCGCCCTTTGCTCGGGGGGGGGGGGGGGAATGATCCATCATCCATCATACCAATATACGTTGTACGCCGCGTTACGAGACGCGCGTGCGAAACGGTGACGGCGCGAGTTTTCGCTCTATCGCGCGCAGCCGAGGGTGTGTAAACGAATGCCGCTTCGTGAATTTGTTTCGTCCAAGCCCGCCCTTTTCTAGCTCCGGGTGTAGGGTAACAAGCCGATCATCCCTTCGCGCCGGGGGTCGTTTGTTTTTTTACTTTCGGCATTTTTGACGCGAAATTAGGTTTCTTTGGTTTCTCCAACTGATGTTATATGGTTGGGAGTCGCTTTCGAGCTGCCACGGGCATCTATCGAGCACCGATCGAACACCGTTCGAGCGAGCACCGTTGGAAAGTAAGGTATCTCCTCGCGTTCACATCCAAAGTTATCGTCTATATTTTGGACCTTTATATATAAGAGCAGATTTGGGCACGGATATTTTTTCAATTTTTTTTTTTTTTTTGCAATGTACTTAATTTTTTTTTTTCTGAAAGTATTTTGGGAAAGAATAAAGTTTTTTGCTAAATACTACATAGTGCTTAAAAATTTTTTCCTGCAAACGTTGAAAAAAAAAAAAGAAACTATTGAAAAAATATGTATTTATACAATATATGTAATGTATTTGAAAAAGTGTTTAAATTACACGTAGAATTTATTATAGATGGGTATGATTTAAAAATGAAAGGGGCGAAAAATTCCAAGCCATTTTACGTATGCCATTGAGGAAATAACATGGATTTTTTGGTGATACCTGTAAGTTTGAACTATAGGGTGCACTAGGAGAAATTTGTCAAAAATAAAAAATTAAAATTAAACGAGTAATAAAAAAAAAAAAAAAAAAAACCAACTGCTACGTCGAGGTTCTTTTTGTGGTAACACTATACACAAACTTCAATATATATTCCGGATAACATGTAAATCGACGAAAACTTAATACATGTAATAATTATAGAAAAAACAAGTACGTAAAAATTCTTCTCAGTATTGATTATACAAAATCGTGTGGGGATGAAAAATCGTTTGGTTTCTGTCATCAATGCCCATACGAAAAGAACACGATCATCAACGTATCTCATCGTCGCATCCGATCCTTCCGTGCGTGATGGGCTACTGCCACGAGCAAAATAAAACAATAAATAATAAAAAAAATTAACTGCCAAACTCTTCCGGGCGCACATCGGATAAACCAAGCTGTTTGTTCAAAAGAGGGACAGGAGCAGTCGGCAAAAATGAAAGAGCAGCCAAGCCACGAGCAAGCAGATCCCAGTCACGACAAAGTAGTGGGCGATTCTCAATCTGCAAAGGAGGACGAGAATCGGATATAATTTCATTCGCGTGAATTTTGAATTTGGAACCTACCTCCGGTATCTCCTGCGGCCCTGGGGCACGCTGCTCAGCGGGTCCTTCATTATGTAGACCCGGAGGCCCCTCACGTGGTGGAAGAAGAAGTCGTCCCAGTCGAGGGTGTCGAGGTTGAAGTAGAACTTTTTCCGATCGACGGGACTCGTCCGCTGCCACAGGGCCAGGACGTTGCCGTTGCCGAACTCCCACTGCTGGGTGGAGAAGTAAGATATGACGCCGCTGAACTTGTGGATCTTCCTGTATGCCTTGAGCAGCCTGAAAGTCAAACGGGGATGTCACCAGTTTGCTCTCGAGGGAGGCTGGGGGTAAAAATAGAGGGTGGTACATTGGCTCGCGGCCGGAGAGCACGGCCAGGAGGTCGATGACGACGGCGGGCACGGTGTGGAAGAGGAAGCAGAAGATGTTGTGCAGCCAGAGGTTCCTGGTGAGCGTGAACGCGTAGTACCAGAGGACGAGGTCGCTGGGCACCTCGCGCCCGTGGACCTCGTTCAGGTGCATGAACCGGCCCCAGTTGATGGGCTTCTGGCACGACGACACCGAATTGTATATCGGCGGGTCCTCGGGCTTCTCCGGGTCCTCCTTCACCGTTGCCTTTTGCTTCTCCTCCCTGTTAAGGAACACCAAAGTTTTTCTTTCTTTTTTCACATCACGTATCTGCTTTCGACATTTCGTTGCTCTACAATTTTCATTACATTTGACTTCTACAAGTCTATACAATGTCTCCAAGTCCAATTAGGTTTTTTAAAAATAAAACAAAAATTCAAATACCATTTTGTTTCATTAAATCGTTTAAAGAGAATTATTACATTATTATTGGATCACAGTGTTTTACACAAATTATTGCAAGCTTAAGTTCATTTTTCAATAAATCCAAGAATATATCACGTGAACATTTGTTTTAAATGTTTTTTTAAATAACTTTTCGTTGCATTAAAATTTTTTTGTTTTTGCCCAAAATCAAAATTAATGTATTTAAGGTGTTTGTATCACATATAATCCCAAACAATTGATACCGAGAAATGTCACTTCAAACCCAATTGTACAGGTATTTTCGAAATGAATATGGTTTGTCTACATTAGCGTATCTTGGCGTTATTAAATAATCGTACCATTTGATGCCATTCGATCCCGAATCGCTTTTGAGTAACCATATGACATGTAATGGGGAAACAGCTGGTGGACGGATGGAAATCGTTGGTTGTACAGACACTTACCACTTGTTGGCGGTGTCCCACGCAGCGACGATGATGTTGTTGATGACGTAGTCGGCGGGTATGATGTCGGCGACTTTGTCGCGTTCGCAGTGCAAGCTGCGCAGCAGACCCACACCCGCGCCCATGACGACACCCGTGGGCCCGTAGTAATTGTTTATCCAGCCGGGCATTGGCTCTCTGTACGTGGCTATCATTATGGACGGCCTGACTATGCACAGGGGCATGCCCGCGCCCTTCCGGCGCACCAGCTCCTCGCCTATGGCCTTGGAAAAGGCGTACGTGTTGGGCCACTTGCCGATCACCCTGGGAAAAGGTCGCGTCGTTGGTTTTCAGGGCCATTTTTCAATGGAACCGAGAGATTATAAGGGGAAAAATATCCACCTTAACGTTACAAGAGTACAACTCGAAGTGCATTATATGTATAATGTTGGAAATATTTCACTTTTTGATCCGTACCGCGATCAACAATTCATGAAATCAAACATGTACTCGATGCAGAGGCCAATCGCGCGTTTCATGTTTTTTATGCATAATATTAATGCCATCGACTATTGCGTTATTACCACTATTATTTATTGTCACAAGGTTGAAAAGTCGTTTACTTTGAAACAAAAATGCAGAGTGAAATATTTCCCAACAGTTGTGAGCTTTCCACCATTTCAAATTGAGATGGCACTTTTTAAGAGACTCAAAGTGACTTCCGGTGGTTTCGAAAGTCTCGGAGGGATTGCCTTCTCGACTCCATCTGGAGCACACAAAGTCGTCCCAACGAAAACGGCGTAAGAGTATATTTATATAAGAGCGAGCGATTACTTGGGTGTGATGTGCTCGAGGAGCTCGTCGTCCAGCATGTCGATGAGCGCCAAGACTCTGTCGGGGTCCATGGGCGGCTCGTAAAACTTCTCCTCTATCCGTTTGAATATGCAGTGCGAGAACGCAGTCGATATGTGAACGAACGCCTGCACTCGCAAAACGACACGATTAATGACACGGTGCCTATCGGCGAGCTGGTCGTTTTTTTTACTCTCTCACCTTCAAGCGCCTCATCTCCTTGGCGAAGAGCAGCACCAGCTTCGTGCCCCGGACGTTGATGCCGATGGCCCGGCGGAGGGACTCGTCGAAGCGGACGGTCGCGGCTCCGTGGAAGACCACGTGGGTGTTTTCGACCAGCACCTGCCGGTCTTTCTCCGACAGGCCCAGGTCCTCCTGGCTCGTGTCGCCCTCGACCATGACCACGTGCTCCGTGAACCTCGGCTGTTCTCGTTTCAGTCTGTCGTACAGCTGTGGGAAATTACATTTTTTTTTTTTCTTTTTTAACTTCAATCGCTTGGGGGTCAACGATCTCGAGTATGAGAAAAATCCCAGCCACAATGAGTATATATTATTATGTACTCAAGTGCAGTGTATACGTGTGCGACTCGATGTCCATGCGAGATCGGTATACGATCGGCATTGATTTGTGTTTCGCGATCATTTATGTATGCGGGTGATTACGGGCGCGCGTCGGGAAATCAAGTTCACCAAACAATGTGTGTATTAAGTGGGAACGAGTGGAATTTTTTTTTTTCTCTCTCTCTCTCTTAGGCAAAAACCGCACGATCGGCAAATTTTTTGTTATTTTTTCTTTTCTTCGTGACCCGTAAATTTTTTTGATAAATTAAATTGCTGATCCAGGTTTTCGGTGTGTGTTATGCTTACGACATCGTTGAAGTGCTCTTTGAATCGTTCCTCCGACGTTTTGCCCTTTTTCGGTCTCATGAACATGTACAGCTTGCCGATTTTTGGGCACGTACTGGAAAAAGATATTAATTAAATACAATTACAATTTAAAGTATCTACGTGGAATTTGGTTTGGAAATTCAAATCGAGATTATAAAAAAAGAGGGGAAGGGGGGGGCGAGACTTATCGCTGAATCGAGAAATCGTTATCCGAACCGAATTTGCATGGGATTTCCGGTAGTTGTTTGTTTACAGTTCATTACCATGGGATTCTGGGAACAACTGTTTCGATGAAAAAAAAAGTTCTCCCATACGATTATCAATCATTCGTGAACTCCAAGGGCGGGGGGGAGTCTAATTAATGGATGGGTTTTTTTCTATTGTTTTTTTTTGTTCCGAAATAGGGTAGATCGAACGACGAAAAAAAATGTCGTTTTTTTTCAGTACATTAACTGTGCTATAGGTGAACGTAACTTTTTTGGCGAAAAAATCGGTAAAAGTAAAAATAACAACTATTACAAAATTGCCAAAAATTGCAACTATGAAACGAAAATCGGTCCAATTGACAGATTTCCCCCCCCCCCCCCAATAAAAACAACACGAGCAAACATCAAAAAGAATCCGTCGCGCAAGCAGGAGTTTCGTCACCTTCGATTACGGAAGGGTACAAGTGTACACATTATGGGTGTAAGGAAAAAAAAAAAAAAACGCTGCTTACCGTAGTAATTTCTCGACGAGGAGCTTGCCGAGAAAGCCGGAGCCGCCCGTCACGAGGATGTTCAGCCCGTCGTAGAAGCCCGTTACCTCGCTCCCATCCTCCGAGGCTGGACTCGACTCGGACACCGTCTCCGGGTCGTCCCGGCGCATGTCGAGCATGCTCTCCACGTAAGTCTGGCTGCTGTCCTCCATCGGTCTCGTCATTTTTTTTTTTTTTTTTTTTTTTCTGTTTTACTGATACCTTTTACCGACGAGCTAAATGGTTTTCACCACGTATGGCTGTATGTGTAGTTTTTGGTATACCCACCCCCGATATGTTGCGAGATATCAAAGCTCGAATCAAACAATTAATCGATGCATCTGCGACTATGTTGCTTTTTTATACTAAAAGTAAACAAAAACAAAAAAAAAAAAAAGTGCCCAGTCGGAGCGCAAGCAACGACGGCCGCGGTGGGACTGGTCGGCTCGGGCAACTTGAGCGTGTAAGTGTCCCAAAAGCATCGGGCATCGAAAAGAAAAAAAGGAAAAGAGAGAAAAAAAAAAAAAAAGTAAATTAAAGAATCGACAAAGAGTAAGCAATTGACCTCGCGTGCGACGAGCCTTTACGTCCGATCGGATGCAATGTTGCTCGTAGAATTCATCCTTTTTGTATTTTCTTTTCTGTGTTAAATAATTTTATGTCATCCAAAACGTTGTAACACTTGATATTGATGTAGCTTAAACAATAATAGGCCAAAAATTTATTTTTTGAAAGGTATTTTGGCATTTTTTAGCGACTCGTACCAAGTGGAATTTTTTTTTTTTACAAGACGCTATTACACTCCTCCGACGTGACACGTGATCCTTTGTACTTTTGAGAAAAACATTGTAGCATAGTTGAGAATTTCTTTTTTTGCAATTTGCATGTATATTTGCAATTTAAGATAATTTAAAAAATTTACTCTCAAACTAACGCGTTGTATGGTGATTTGTCGTCACTCACCGGTAAAAATAACACACCGGGTTCGCATGCAAAGTGCTTTCGTTCGTATTTGAAAACGATTTCATTGAAATGTCAATTTTTTTTTAATTCGATCATTCGAGCTGTACAGGTATGACATTAAAACGTGGCTGCAGTTTGCAATAAAACAATTCATCGACTCTCTGATGTTGAATACAAAAACATGACGTACTTGTATTTTAATAAATTTTTAGTGTTGAATTTCTGTTTTCTCGTAGATAGAGCTTTTGTTACGATCGATCGGAAAATAAAGTTTTTTAAAGTAAATGTACAATTGGACTATATACTTAATGTATATCATATAGTATGTGAGACATAGAGTATTGAAATTTATTGTAACACATTCCAAAATGAGGGTGTTTTAGATTAAATTCAAGTTTAATGTTCTTGTTCATCCTGAAATAGTGTTTTTTGCATTCAGAATAATATCGTGTCAATGAAAATGCCCCGCATTTTTTTGCAATTACAAGAATCTGTCCACACTTTGTAGTTTTTTGAATTTATTGTAACTACAATCAAATTAATTTATTTATTTTAAAACTAAATATCTGTCAATCTATCTACATTTATCCTACCTAAATAATACTCTGCATGATTATTACCCCGTTTTACTTGGGGTCAATTTTGCAAGTAATTTATATATACATACATGTGACGTAATAATAATTATAATAAGAAAACAATAACAAGAAAAATCACAACATTAATGATAATATTGATGATTATGTTGGAGTAATTCATGTAAAATCAGCGTACGAATTAGTAAAATATTTTAATTACAGGCTTGCATAATCAACAAGCATTATTTTTGTATACGAACTTTAAGCCAACATGGGTTTACATTTTAGCCATTAAAAATTCTAAGGGGGCTTCTACTGAAGTACAGCCACACACCTCGGTCGTTCATGTGTCGAATTTGCATTTTCAAAAAAAATCTTGATGCTTTAAACGAGCGCTCTTGTGTTGAGAAAGGGCAACGACCAAAGAGAGTGAAACAATGAAGTGCCCGCGCGGGGTAATTTCGATTATTCCAATGTGGAATCGCTACATTTTTGTGCGTCACGTTCATGTGTAGCTTCGATTGTTACACACGCTGCAAATGAAAGCATTTTATTACACCAAGCCTTTTTTTTTTTTTTTTTTTTTTTCTATAGTAATAAACGTTTCTAGGGTTGTTGAAGGAAACCAAATTGATTTATGTTATATTTATTTATTCAGGTATGCGCGTAAATTTTTTCAAACAGACTTTTTTTCGATCATGCAAGCGTTATACGTGGTTCGTGTTGATGATGCTTAATTTATCATACAGTATACATCGACAACAAACTATTATTTTATTTACACCGTAGCGATAAAAAATTTTAATCGTTAATTACATTAACCAAACCCTTTCGATATTTGATTTGCTCCAACACTTTACTATCGCCAACATTTGGGTTCGATTTCGTTTAAATGCGACATCTTCGAAATTTTGTTTCATCCATAAATAATATTTTGCAAATCGTATGTACACCAATAAGTATCATTTTTGTGAGTAAAAATTAACTTTAGTATCGTTGTTATAAACTATTTACATGTCAACACTTTTCATCTGGTGAAAGATTACATCTTTTAACGTAAAAAGTTATTACACTCGTTATAAAAAGTATCATTTTGACACAATAATTTAAAACTTTGTTTAATGAGAATAACTTTTTCAATATTTAGACGAAAAATTAGTTACACTTTGATCATTTAAAGCTAGAAAAGTTCAGCGTCCAGCGCTTTATTCGATGATTCAATAATACAATTATCTTAAAGTGACAAACTATATGAAGTTGATTTCAATAATTCACTGCGTTGGACGTTGTAATGTAGTTTAATAAATAAATTAAAAATATATTATTAAAAAATTGATCAATTATTATTCGTTTTAAATGGGAAATCATGAGTTTATCAGAAATATTTGATGAATGATCATTGTTTAACTAATGAACAATTACATGAAACTGTGATTCATTGAAATGTACAAAGTTGATTCTATTATTTTTCTATCCGATTGTGGAAAAAAAAATCGAAAATACAAATAGTTCTAAGGTGGTAATTTTTCTCCAACATGATGTGTAAATAATAAACAATTTGTTCAGTTTTAAAGTACTGCAACAGTTTTCCTTCGTTCACGCTCTAACAGCATGAAAGAAAATTCAAATTGATAGCATCTAAAATCAATAATCTTATTCACTTAAAAAAAAAAAGAAAGAAAAAAGAAAAAAGAAATTTATAACAAAATAAAAATAATATTAATAAACAACCGAAAGTTAGACACGCTCTATTCGTACTCCTCAATACATCATTAAATTAAAAGTATCACATTTTCATGTAAAACACATGCCATATAAAACACTACAACGCTGTTTTCTAATCGTCCTGCAGCAGACTCAACGGATCTTGTACGATTTTCTCGGCTGTTTTCTTCAAATCTCTTGTTACTGCTTTCTTCACCACCGGCCTGGTGCTATTGATTTTCGCTTTACTATCCTGCAAAAACGCTGACTTTGAACTTCCAAATATATCATTATTGCTGTCATTGTCGTCGTCATCATCTTCATCGTCGAACAACGACGTCGACGTTTTCTTGGGTATAGCCTTCTTACTGCTGGCGAACAGGTCGTCCTCGTCGCTCGAATCACCAAAGATGTCCGTAGCAGTCGTTTTGGTGCTCTTAGGCACTGGTTTCTCATCCAAAGGAGGCGGTTCTTCTCTAACTTCTGCCGGCTCGCTCTTCTTCTTGGCAGAACCAAAGAGACTCTCGTCGTCGACGTCCTCGAGCGCAGCTTCATCGAACAAGTCGATTTTCGTGTCCCTCAATGGTTTCTTTTCCATTTTCGTTTTGCCGGACGAGAAAAGATCGCTCCTGCTCATGTCATCATCATCGTTGTCGAACAGACCCAAACTCGACTTTGTCTTCGTCTCCACTGCTTTTTTGTTCGACTTTGAGGAATTGGAGAACAAACTATCGTCATCCTCACTGAGCTTCAAACCTGTATTTGCAAATTCAAAATATGAGTGACATCATTAAATATATGTACAGTAAGGTGACAGTAGTGTACCTTCATTTTTCTCCGGCGATGGGGTTTTTGTGACAAAGGCAAACAGCTGGCTCGGATCTTTGAGAGGATCGTGGCTGTCGTCCCTCAGAGGATCAATGGCAGCCTCGACTTTTTCCTCTTTCCGTTTTTTCTCCACTCCACCCCGTTTACCGTGATCCGTAACGTCCTCGTGTTTCATCTGCTTCCCTCTAGGCCTCTCTATTCTCTCGATTGGCGACAAAATTGGGGCCCTCCCGAACAACGAGTCCTCCTTACCGGCTGGATCTTCCGGCAGATCAGGGGGCACATCGAACAAGTCCTCCTCGTCGGTCGAGGGCGACAACAGATTCGTCGAAGTGTTCCTCGAAGCACTGATTTCCGACTTGTCGTCGACCGTCTTCCCCAACTGCGGTCTAACAACACCGGCTCTGACGTCGCCATTGGCATCGCCGTTTGGCTGATCGCTCGTCGGACTGTTTGTAATGACGTCTGGCACATCGAAATCTATGCCGCTCTGCAGTAAGGCAGACTGGCGGGCTTCTCTGCTCTGCGGTCGTCGTTTGGCTGGGATACGCGCTCGACTCTGAAATACAAACGAGACATCGATCGGTCACAAATCTCCGGTGTTTCGTTGCCACTTTCCAACTGACCTTCGAAGCGATCGACGTTAGGGTTTCCACCTGAGCCGGCTCGTCGAAACTAATGGCACCCTCCGTATTTTCCGACCTCAAGGACGGCGAGTCTCTCGCCCTGGAACCTGATGACCGACGTAAGTCACATTACTGAGAGATTTTTCAAAGCAACGAGCATCTACCAACGTGTATAAATTAAGAGATAACTCACCCGACGTGTGAGGCGACGAAGCACCGCTGGCCAAACTCGGTGAGCTGGCTTCGCTGCTCGCGTGGCCCCCAGGCGTCTCCTGTCCGTCGTCGTTGCCGTTGCTCTCCTCCTTGTTGTTTTTCCTGAAGGGCGTCGAGTCGTCGGTCGGCGAGAGCATCCTCAGGCCTTCCATGTTGCCCATGAGGTTCTTAATTTTCGCAGAAACCGCGGGCTTCTTGAACCCCTGGCTCGGCGAGTTCTTGTCCGACGTCGGAAGCGGCAGACCCACCTGGATGGTCAGCGACTTTGGTGGCTTCTTCCTCGAGCTCGCGGCACCATCGACGACGCTCTCGTGCTCGGCCCCGTTGCCGTTCTCGCCCCTGTGCTGCTTCTCGAGCTTCTGCCTCATCTCCGCGAAAAGGGGATTCTTCGGCTTGGCCGTTTCAGTCTTTGCTCCAGCCTCGGGACTCGCCACCGGCGGCGAGCCTTCGCTCACTTTCTTCTTTTTCTTCCTCTTGTCGGCAAACAGGTCGTCCTCGTCTTCGTCGTCCCCATCATCCTCCTCCTCCTCGAATACACTCTTCTTCTCCTCTTTGGCACCATCGCGCCCCGACACTTTTTCTTCGTCCATGACACCCTCGCCCTCCCCCAACAATTTCTTACCCCCGATCTTCTTGGTCGAGCCGGCAAAGAGGTCCTCGTCGTCGTCGCTGTCGTCGAAAATACTCGCGGCCGGCTTCTTCGGCTTCACCAGCTTGGACCTATCCTCGGGCGCCCCGGCGCTCTTACCGGCCACGAGACTCGTAGGTTTGCCCGCAGACTCGACAACCGGCAGCTTGTCAACGACCTTTTTTTCCGGAACGTTCCTCGTGGAGGAGCCAAACAAGACCGAGTCCTCCTCGAAGAGGCCCCCGGAGGCGCGGGATTTCGAGGCCCCGCCAAACAAGTCGGAGTCGTCCGAGTCCTCGTCGAACAGGCCCCTGGGCTGCTTCTTCTGCTGCTCGGTCCTCGGCGACACAACCTTGGTCGGGTGCCTCGGGGGACTGGTTTCACCCGGCTTGAACAGGTCGCCGTCGTCCAGGGACGGCACGTCGTCAAAGAGGCCCTCCGCCACCTTGGACAGGCTCTGTATGGGCGCCGCGGCAAACAGGTCGACGTCCGGGGCGTCCTTGGCGTCAAACAGGTCGATCTCGTCGTCAAAGAGGTTCTTTTTCTTGGGCTGGGGCTGCGAGGTGGTGGACGGTGGCGCGCGCGAAGGTGTGGGCTCGCTGCTCTTGCGGGACCTCGTGCTGGGACTGGCGCTGGCGAAGAGGTCGTCCCCGGAGTCCGAGTCGTCGAACAGCGAGGCTACCTGCTGCAATACACACGTTTGCATCAATGTTGAAACAGTCACTTGTTTAGCTGTGGTTTGTCGATTCCACTGCGTATAATACACTCAACTAGTATTACTATCCCCGATGATGCACCATTCGAATAGGTAGCCGTGTAAGGAGTGCATTTTTGTTTTTTTACTTTGAAAATAACAAAGCTTCAGGACATATATTGGACAACTATTCCGCACCAACAACGTTATGAAACTGCCAAAGAACTGATCGTCAAACTTTGATATTGTTTCGCTTCGTTCTATAAGCTTTATCTATAGCAGAGATAGTCGAATAATTGCCTGATAGAGGCATTGTTGGGTATAGTTCTTATCTTTGCACCGTAAATTACTAAAAGTGTTTTATTCTAATGCTTTACAATTTTGTTGCATAAATTTCAGATGTCATTGATGAAAATACTCGAGAAACAATTTAAATCGATCTGTTGGTCGAGCTTTGGACGAAACGACCGATTTCAGGTGGAAAATAGCTGGTTAAGAATGTGATATTTGAAAAAAAAAAAACAAAACAAAAAACGTTGATCTGAAAAAATGTTGTCAATACTTTTGTTAGCAACACTGCCGTAATTTTACAATAACATGACTGTTGAAAAGCACAAAAGAATGTTTTTTCTCCGAGTTGATGAGTCTTTTGTTGTGTCCAAGGAAAATTCACGTTTTACAGCCGTGTATATGAAAGTTTTATCAATTACTAAATTCTCAAAATTAAAACATCACTTGAAAGCATATCGCTTTAAAATTTTTACGATTAAATTTATTACTTCGTGCAATACAAGATACAACACGTTCATTGAAAGCCGTTATCTCTTATACACAGCTATAGACTGTACTTTTACATCAACTTTTTTTATTTTTAATTATCAAAAACATCAGTTGCGTAGTTGAGCTAATAATACAATCAATTAACCTATGAGAAATCCATTACGCCGAGTTGGATTATGTATACATCTACACTGCTATTTACTCAATAGAATTGGCTCGTATAGTAAAACGGTTAAATTTTTAAGTTGATTGGTTTAAACAAAGGAAAAGAAAAAAAAAAAAAGTGCTTTTACGTCACTGTACTGATTTCAAATGATTTTCTTCAAACCATGGAAAAAGGAGAATTACAATTTTTGTTTTATGCATAAAAAAACCTTGGTTTAACATTGGTGACGAAATCGTCTACGAGCCGTTTTAAAAATAGTTGACAATGAAAGGAGTGAGGAAACGCTTATTTTTGTAAACTTGCACTTAGAGATGCACGCGCTGTTGGAAAACCGTTTATTTATTTTACTAACTGTTGTGAAAAAAAAAAAAGAAATCACCTTAGACTTGGGATTGTCCTTGGGCAGCGGCGGTGGCCCGAATACGTCCTCGGAATCCTCCGACACATCCTCGGGCAGTGGCTGCTGTTGCTCCCGTCGCGGCTGATCGACGGGGTTGCCGCTGCTCTTGACTTTACTCGCGAAAAGGCTGTCGCTGGTCAGGTGCTCGCGGTAGATCTCCTCGGACTTGAGGCGGCTCGAGGACATCAACGGCTGAAAGTCCGCTCTGCGAATTGGGAGAAAAGAGAAAGTTTTTCACATATGTTTACTCATACATATATATATATGTATATGCTCTGGCGCTCCTGTATTGGTATAGTAAATATATGCGGATGGGATACGCGTGTCTTTTTATGGAGTTGCTCGAGCGGGCGCGCTCGTTTAATCTGTGTCGCGCGACTGTTGCCGATTTTTTGAAATAGAAACCGATGCCACATCGCGTGTGTTTTCTTTGGATCTTGCTCAAAAATAACTCGATACGTACGGAAGATTTCTTGCGGATTTTCATACAATTTTATGTATAGCCTTTTGCGGTAACTTGTCTACAACTTGGTAATACTTTGGTACAGAATCGGTTCAACATTTATCACACGCTTAAAGAATCCAAAATTGACTTTTATACTTTTTAAAACAACCGAGCTGACAGTGTCAACGGTTTTAAAATAGTTTTTAACTTTTCAAGTCCATCAGTAATTAACATTATACAGTTTATCATGTCAATACTAGTTTCTTATCGCCTAGTGTAACTTCATTAAATTAAGAATTTCAAAGCATTTCTGACCTTTTTTTTTTTTACTTCTAGAAAGCAATTAATTTTTCATTAGATGATGTCATTTCAACCTAATAACTTCAAGTTCATTTGTAGTTACGTTTATTTTGAGGTTCCTTGATTTGTAGTTTGTGTCTCAATATAGTTAATTATATTTACCAGTAAAAATATTTGTTTTGTAATATAAAAAAAGTAGAACATTCATCGCGTTAAAGAGTTAAAATTACAATAACCCAACGATTAATGGTTAAAAAAGACTATACGACAACTATTTGTGGTCATAAATCGGTACAATCGGCACCATCAGTTGCGTTACGGAACAAAGACGAGACACTTGCTCACAAGGCCCGAAAACGTCCTTTCCAACTTTACTCGCGCAATATTTACTCCCAAAAAGAAATCCCAAGCAAACAGCAGGGGCAAACAATATAATATACATAATAAAAAATATTACGCATTCAAGTTAACACTCGGCCGTGAGCGCGTTGTCAATATTTGCCGAGCGTCACGCGTCCGAAATCAAGACATATACGTAACACTTTGCGAGAGCGAAAAAAATGGAAACTGTTAAAAAAAAGAAGCCTTCAATGATCTCGAGGGAGAGAGAGAGAGAGAAGACTCCGCGCGAGCCACGGCGTGACGCATCGGGGGCAAGCAAACGCGTATCAGGTGAGCGCGAGAAAGAGCGACTGGCCGCTCGGGAGGCGCGTTGCGGGGACCCCAGCTTCGCTCTTTCTTTGTGTACCTGCTCGTGGGGACCGATCGAGAGGAAAAAGGAAGGAGCGAGAGGCCCCGCGCTGCCTAAGCATCCAGGAGGACGAATTTTCCAGGTGAAAGGAGCTCTCGGGCTCGCTTGGTCAGCTGAAACGTACACACACACAGCTGCGCGATTATTTATTTGCGCTGAGCGTGTATGGGCGGAGTGCGTTTGCACACAGATTTTGCGAGAGAACGGATGATAAATTTCGCTTTTTTTTTTTTTTTTTTTTTTTCAAAAATACTTTGGGCGACACTCTGTTTTGTCAGAATTCGTACGGGGCATATTTTTTTTTACCCAAATAGTTGGCTTCTCCTTGCAATGCTCGTACCTTAAAATGTACAAGCTTNCGTTAAAAAAATGTGTGCTTTTTTTAATATCTGAACAACTATATTATTAATAAAAAGAATGTTTTGAAGGCTATCGCGGCCAACATATGGTTTAGGGCGACACTCTGTTTTGTCAGAATTCGTACGGGGCATATTTTTTTTTACCCAAATAGTTGGCTTCTCCTTGCAATGCTCGTACCTTAAAATGTACAAGCTTGTGGGTAAACACTAGTTGAGAAGGTCAGCGCAATAACATTCGATGCCAGAAGGCACTTTTTTGACGAGTTTCGTGGCATTTCTGAATGTCACATACCACGTATGCGAACATTTTCAAACATCGAGAAATATATAATTAATTATCCGGGGTTATTGACACTCGAGCACACCAGCAAGGCTGCTATTGTTTTCAAACTCATAGGGACTTTTTTCTGCTTGTACACTATTTTTTTTACCGATTGTATACAATAATTTTTTATGCATCGAACGGTAATTTTTTTTAATTTAAAGTACATACGTTAAAAAATTGGGTTGCCAAAAGTAGAAAAGTTTTTTCTCCCACTTTGCGTATAAAAAGCTTCAAATTTTAACAATTTTCCAAGTGGAAATCAGATATGGAGATAACAAACGAATATTAAGGCGATAAAGAAAACTAAATTAGGAAATAACAGATGTGCTAATGAGGTATAAACTCATTAAGCAGAATAAAAATAGCTTGTAGATAAAATAAATAAATAAAGAAATACACTATTTATATCGTTCTAAGAACTAGACTATTAGTACCCAGCGACATTACATGCTCAAACGCATTTAGATTAAAAATTGTTGGAGGTAATAATATATTAACAACAGTGCCCTTTGGTCAATCGAACACAAATATTATTTTAGTTGGTAATGAACGGAGAGAGAGAGAGAGAGACAGAGAGAGAAAAAAAAAAAAAAAACTTGAGCGTTTAAAACGCGGGACTCTTTATTATTTTAGTAAGTAATGAGTACGCGGAGAGAAAAAAATACTTCAACGATCGACGTATTGGACTCCGCAAGCACAAGCATATTTGGCGTGGTCCCCAACTTTCCACGACACACTTAAGCACCGCAGCTCTAAGCTTTCCCGAGCTAGCTTCTAAGAATAGTCTCGATTACCAGCAAAATGCTTATCCACGGAAAATCCGGTGGTGGGTCCCCGCGGTTAATCACTCTTCAATAACTGTAGAAAAAAAAGAAGAAATTTTTCGATTTTGCGATGCATTGCTTGCTTGGGTAGAGGTCCAAGTACGTGGTGTGGAAACCGTGTCAAATATGCGTAAGAGTCTTTTTTTTAATTTTTTTTTTTTTTTTTTTCCCCTCATCCGTGCAGGGAAATAATCTTATGTGGCTGGATTTTACGACACAAATTAGATAACGTCTTGAAAATAAAAAAGTACATTATCTGCACTGGATAAGTTCATTATTCGTTACCCAAGATGCTCTTATAAACAAGGAAAAAAAAAAGATAGTATAAATTAAAGGCCGCTTTGCATCATTTCAGCAGTTAGTTCTTTACGTTTGCGAAGAAATCTCCACAGAGCATTAAAATGAAGTCTGCGTGTCTTCTTGTTGTTCTTGCGTTAATCGTCTGTCTATTCAACTCAGTCGAAGGTAATAATAATATAACACATAGGTATTTAAAATTATCGTATATATATAGTGTAGTGTCAAATCGTATAATACAACGGTCAACAACAAAGATATGCTAGAGAATTCAGTGAATTTTTCTTGAATACTAATAATTGTAGGAAAAGACAACTGATGAACTTCGTAATCGCCACATATATACACACAACTTTATTATTTAGAGATCCTTCTTCTTAAGTTTGATTCATTTTTTTTTTTTTTTTTTTTTTTTTTTTTTATAAAAATTTATTTTTGAGGTTGGTGTAAAAAAATTAATTTTTTTTTTTTTTTTTTTTTTTCTATAGTAATAAACGTTTCTAGGGTTGTTGAAGGAAACCAAATTGATTTATGTTATATTTATTTATTCAGGTATGCGCGTAAATTTTTTCAAACAGACTTTTTTTCGATCATGCAAGCGTTATACGTGGTTCGTGTTNTTTTTTTTTTTTTTTTTTTTTTTTTTTTTTAATCTTTCCAAGAAAAACCAAATAAAACGTTGAAATTTTTGTACAAACTATAAAAATTAAATTGTCAATTGAAGAGGTCATGCTTTAGAATTTTTCCGTTTTAAACAGACAATTTGGTTTATCCATGCCACTCGTATTACGAATAAAAATACTTTGTTGCATGGTCTATCAATCTTTTATTTAAGAATAATTTGATTTAAGTTTTGCAAATTTCATTTTACTCTTTGAAAAAGTTTGCTTAGTAGTTCTAAGTTGATTTTTGAAAGTACTCAACGTGTAAGCAGTCATGAGCAATTGTGTGTCAAACAGCGAGTAGAAACCATGTAAATATATATATATATATATATATATATATATTCGTAAAAACAATAACGTTCAAATTTTTCAATCAAATAGACTTGCAATAAGGCCAAAAGTTTCATCATAAGGCATAAGTGTCTTTTTGTAAGATAATAAAATTTATTGTTGGTTTCAACGTAAGACCTTAGAGATCTTACATAAAAAAAAGTTTTACTTGTAGCACAACTGCTATAATTTCATATTTTTGCATTGTCAATTAAAAAAAAATTTTTTATTCAAGCACAATCACGGGAAAAGCGTGCCCTATCACTAGAGTATTGTCCAACTGGCTATTCAGAGAAAGAATGTAGGGTATATGCCTGGAAAAAATTAAAAGAATCTGGTGGCTGTCAAACTTTCCACTTAGGAGGTAACACAATTCAATGGGAAAGGTGAGTGTATTTACTTTTTTTTTTTATCGTATCGTAATTTTCAAAAATAAATCAGCATTTGAGTAATAATTATTTTCTGGCTTGTAGCTGCGGAGCCGTGTTGTGCCCACCTGGTGCGGAAAAACCAGGCGATAATAGAAAACCATATCCCGATTGCTGTCCGAGTTGTTACTAAATAGATTGAGATCGACCAGGATCAATTTTTAAATAAAAGCATTAATTATATCATCTCGATATCATCCATTGAAACTGATTCAATCAAACATTAATTGTTGGATGTCTAATATTGTTATTCCAACAAGTTCTGCAAATACGCTGAGTCATCATAAGAAATAAAATGAATATTTCATCGTTAAAAAAATGTGTGCTTTTTTTAATATCTGAACAACTATATTATTAATAAAAAGAATGTTTTGAAGGCTATCGCGGCCAACATATGGTTTAGTAAAAAAATTGCACAAATTAGCATCTCATGTGTACTGTCTCAACTACAATTTTTTTCGGTTTTTAATTACAATAAAATAATTTTTTGATAGTTAGAGCTATGAAATTTGTCTATGCCAATACCAATATTCGAATGAGGGAAAAACTTTGTAAGATGATTTCTGGCACTTCGCAATAGTAAAAGATAAATTTCAAACTATTTCATTGGCCTTTATACTCAATACTTACAAGTGTACGGTAAAATAATTAATAATTAATAAATTACATATTTCATATTTTCTTAATGATTTAAGTATTAAGAAAAAGACATTTTCCTGCTTTGGGCTTTTTTTTGCCGTCGACGTTTAATGCAATTTTAGAGTTCGCACCTGATGCATCAGGGTAAGCACAAGCAAGGGTCCCTCGCGCCTTCAGGTTCAGGTACAAAGAAAAATACTATTTTATGCTTATACATGATTGTCAATTATGATAATTTAAAATTTTTTTAAGTAATAGAAATCCTTATTTTTGTTCCATAATGTGAAAATCTTGTGGATAT